CTTATGTAGCAGCAGATATTTTATCAAATTATTCTTGTTTACATTCAATCCCAATCGGAAAGAACTCGGACGCCAATCAGCAAATGCTGTCTAAAGCTGTTGATGACGAGATGTTGTGACATCATGATGCTGCCTGATTTAGGTGGCTTCAAGATGTCATTGACATAAAATTAGTCTTTAAATATGTTATTTAAAGATATCTGTAAATCAATGTAATAAAAAAATTGGTGTACTAAAAGGTAATATTGTGTGCTCTGATGGGATTCTTGTGATTCTTAAGTTAGTATTGTGACAATAAAAATGTAGAATATCCCTCGAGAATTTGGATTAAGGCAGGAGAAGATTAACAAGAATGACGTCTTATGCCTATAATTATCTTCTGCTTTAATTGATGGTTATCATGAAATGGTTTTTACATGAGACAGTGATAAATGCTTTGAGAGGCCATGGAGCTTCTCTGCAAACAGTCTGTTGTAAATCGCTTAGATCAGTATAATCCCCTCGATTGTGGAGACACAACCGTCTGGCTGTTTGCTATCGTTATTTGAGAATGATGATGCTATCGGCCCAAGTTGTTTTGATTTTGCGGCTGCAATTTTTTCTTCTTATGCTCTTCTAATGCATTAACATGTTCTATCGTTGCCGCTGTTGGGAAACTATCAATCTTTTATGTGATAATTCAATTTTATTTTTTGGACATTATGTAAACATTCACCTCTATAAGCACTGAACTGACTTGAACTTTTGAAAAGTGATACACCTCCATTGTTGCAGATTGGCGTAAGTGCTCCTCAGGGTAGTGGCAAAACAACACTTGTTTTGCTCTAGAGTACCTTTTCCGTCGGAATGGCAGGTAAAATGCTGCAATCAGTTGCTAAACTGTAAGTACATTGCCAAACTAATGCGGCATTTTCTCAGGAATGCTGCAACATTGTCAATTGATGATTTTCTATTTGACAGCAGATGAGCAGGTGTAAATATTGAAGCAAGCTTCATTAGCTTTCCACTTTCCACTTTATTATATTTTCCTCTCTTTTTTATAATTCTTTTTTATATTTGTGTAATTTTCCTTACAGGCCAACTTAAGGAGCCAAAACCCTGGAAACGCTCTCTTGGAGGTCTTGAAATTTATTTTTATCTTGAACATTATGCAAATGAGCAATAGATAAGGCAATGATTTATGCAGTGCACGTAATTTGGATGGTTCTTCCCTCTTAGAATTTTTATTTTTTAGAAACTTTGAAAATAGACATTTGGCCTCAAATTACTTTCAGTTTCGTGGGAATGCTGGAAGCCATGACCTGCAATTGTCTCTGGATACGCTCACAGCTCTAAAAGAACTGACAAAAGCAGGTATCATACTATCCCAAAATTCTGAGCCTACATGCATTGGAACCCAAAAAAAACTCTCTTTCAAATTGAAAGCTGGTGAACTATAATGCTTTTCAGGCATGAAGATGAAGCTTCCACGGTATGATAAGGTAAGCATGAAAAGCGACTCTTCCGCTTGGCAAGTTGTTTTTGTTGATATTTTTGGCTTCTGTTGCATTACTTATAGTCTTCACATGGAGGGCGAGGTGATAGAGCTGATCCTTCAGAATGGCCAGAGGTTGAAGGTCCATTAACGGTAAAGCTATGCAAAACCAACAAATATATATATATACTTGTGATGAAATGCACGAGTAATAGCAACTTGGCAGGTTTTTGTGCTTTCTATAGGTGGTTCTACTTGAAGGCTGGATGCTTGGCTTTCAACCTCTCCCAAGTGATGTTGTCAAAGCAGTTGACCCACAGGCAAGTTTTTTGAAAAAAACCAACCACTATCAATTGGTTCCTTTTCACCTCTTTCTCCTGGTTTTTGGAGTTACATATGCTGTTTAATTACTATTTTTTTCAGCTTGAAATTGTAAATAGAAATCTTGAAGCCTACTATGACGCATGGGACAGATTCGTAAATTCATGGATAATTATCAAGATCAAGGATCCTAGTTATGTCTATCAGTGGAGATTACAGGTTTTCATTTATTTATTTATTTTTCTGGTGGTGAGGGGTTGTACTTTTCTATGCTTTCACACTTCATTAAATTGATCTTCATTTTTCAGGCTGAAGTGGCCATGAGAAATGATGGGAAACCTGGTTTGTCCAATGAGGAGGTATGCTTTTCTTCTATTTTCTTTTATATTTTCCCCACCCATTGATATTAGTGCCATATTATTCTGCTTCCAAATTATGTTCAATACAGCTGAGGCTTGGCAACATTACACTTTGTTTCACTAATCCTGATCACTAATGGGCCTATACGATATTTGATTATGATGAATTTTGTAATTTTTAAATTTATTTTTAGAAGAGCATCATCTATGAAGAATTAATCAGCACTCATCACAAAATAAATTCACTAACCTTGATGTTATCATAGCTAAAAATTTAATTTTGATATTCTTTGGACATCTCCAACCAAAAATCTCATTTTTCACTCCAAAATGCAGTGTAACAAAAAATAGCGTGATTCATCTCCAATCGAACTCTATTTTGCTCCCAGATAATCATCTTTCTCCTTCGCACGTTTCTTCGACAAATCCGGTAGAGATAGAAAAATAGCGCAGGTGAAAAATGTAACGCCAATATTAGCGTCGCATTGTTCACCCTCAATAAAATACCGGAAGTTTTGACGTTCGGTTGGAGCTTACTAGCGACACTATTCTGTGTTTGGAGTTCGGTTAGAGATGCCCTTAGCCAATTTCTTACCATAGCACATGGCCAAAATTTTGAGTAGGCCTCAAAATCAGTCGCTCATGATTGCAGAGCATCTGTGAACAGTTTCTGTTTTGAAGAATATGACAAAATCTTGCAAATATTTCTCTTAACCTTATTCGTTTGATTTAAATTATTTTACAGGTCTTGGACTTTGTGTCTCGGTATTTACCTGCCTATAAAGCGTATCTTCCAACATTGTATTCTAAAGGGCCGAGGAATTTCGTTAAGGAACGGCTGCTAATAATTGATATCGACGAGGAGAGAAATCCCATATCAGAGAATTGAAATTACATTAAATCGTTCTATGTAATTTAACATTTAGGCATATTGCTTGTGTGACATTTAGGCATGCCTCAAGATAAAATCATCCAAAGTTTTCTTAATCAAATTTATTTAATCTCTTAAATTATTGTTATATACAACATTCAGAATTATGTAGGAGCTTCAAGTTTTGGACATTTGTTACAAAATAATTTTAGCAATGGCCCAACAATATTAATAAAACATGGCAAATATTTGTATTTGAATATCTTGATAAAAATATGATTAAGATAAGTCTAAAAAACAAAAATAAATAATAAAAAAATGATAATTCTTAAAAAACTTTGATTTATTTTAGAGTTTTGTAAAATATTAATTATTTATATATTATATTTATCTTTAAAGTATATTTAGAAGGCATTAAAATCCATCTTGAGTGGATGGGATATCTTGATGTAATTTTTTGTCAAATTATTTTCTAAAAATGGAAGAAAAGGCCATTGTTGAAATTCTAAGGCCACTATCATGACTCACTCCGTGTTTTCCTTTCAGATGAAACAAAATTTAAATTTCATCAACGAGCTAAGAAATAAAAAAGATGTTACATTCTCCTAAGGGGTTGTTTGGTAGGCTAAAAAAATAATACATTGTAAAAAGAATGTAATTTAAAAGAAATATTTTAGAGTTGTTTGGATGAGTGTAAAGTAATTTCATTAAAGCGATTTTTGTTTGTTAGGTTTTGAAGTAAATTGAATGCATTGTAGATCAAAGATGATAGTGATCGGTTGTTGGAGGCGGTGGTGGCAAATGGTTCGTGGTAGGGGTGTCAAAATCGGGTTGTGGGTCGGGTTCGAGTCGAATTTGGAATTGATCTTACACTAATTAACATGATTCAAACCTAACCTATTTTTACAAACATGTCATAAAATTCAACCTAGTCCAACTTGTCGGGTTTCGAGGTTGACTAGACCTAACATGAAATGAGTTATGGCCGAAGAAGCGCGTGAATGGGAGGAACTCTGTAGAACCAATGATGGAGGCAACTCGTTTGCAGCTACTGCAAGGGAATGAGAGGAACTCCATTGAAGTTGGAGAAGAGGAAAAGCAAACCTCTGGGACTTGGTCGAATGCATGGCAACAAGCAAGCGTCGGATTGCGGCCTGTCGGAGATACGAGACCAAATCTGGGGGCGGGATTTAGGAATTGGTCTTGATAGTAGCGATCCTCATCTCTTCTCTTCATTTCCATCTCTTCTCTTAATGTCCGGCCAGTAGTAGTGAGCCAGCCAGTCAATAGTATTTATCGTCTCTAACTCTCAAATATGAGCCAGCCAGCTAGAGAGCCAGTCGGCAGCAGCAAGCCTCGTCTCACTGAGCGAGGATTCCCCCTCCGTCTTTGATGCAATGTGAGCACGACAGTGAGGTTTTCGAGTCAACCCGGGTTTGTTTCAGGTTTTTGAGTCTACCCGAACTCAATCCGATTTTATAAATGAGTTGGAATCTCGAACACAACCCATATGACAAATGGGTTGACCCGAACCCGAATTTTTTCTGGTCGGGTTTGATTTTGGCACCCCTAGTTTACAATTAATTTACTTTACTTTGCAATCCTTTTTCATTTGACGAAACACCATATTTTTAAAACTCTATTTGGAATACTTTTCCCCCTTATGTAATCCAAAGTAACATAACACACATCCTAGACTATAAATTGAGTGAAATTTAAAATTGATGCATTAAATTCACTTGTTCATGTTATTTTTTAATTTTCTCCCGTACAATTCTTTCAACTAAGCTATTACGATTTGCAATTTGAAAATTGTTACTTACTTTGATGTTTAATCAATCATCAATTCACTATTCACCATATATTGAATGGCGTCTAGTAGTAGGTTTCAAGACTTTGGGTTTCAAATTTGTGAGAATTAAGTGATTTTTGTTTTGTTTTAGATTTATCTATGGTTTAATTTATATTACAAGAAGGTTTTATTTGTTTATCTTTGATTTATTCGATGGATAGTACCTGTCTTTAATATTTTTTTGAGGAAAGCAATTAAATTGCATTAATAAAAAGAAAACTATTACAAACTAGAACTATAAACCGATTCCTCCTTTAATAATTGATTAAAGAAAGGAGGAATCTTATTCGTAGCTAATTCATCCCAATCAAAATTGTTAAAGATAGCATAATTAGCACATAATTTGGCTAACTTATTACATTCTCTATTTACCCAATTAA